AGTATTTTAATGAGTAAATGTGTGAAGTGCAAAAATGCAATTCCCTTGTTATGTGTCCCGGTTCCTGTCAGTATCACTGTTGCCCTTGCATTGCTTTGCTTTTCTTTTGGCAGAACTGCCTGGGTCCCCTTATGAACATTTTGAAGGAGCACATCATTGGTATGGAGAAGGAGCACCTGATCTCCCATCAGTCTGAGCTGACGGCGTTTTTCATGAAAGCCCTGGACTTCCGAACAGAGCATGCCCAGGTGGCTTCTTTAGGGGGGTGATCAGCAGCAGCTAAACCTCTACATGCTAATTCTATCAGTTGTTGTAAAAAACATTAGTAGTTTCCATTGCATATGTGCTCTGAAATTCTGGGTATCAGATACTCTGTTCTGGAATTGTTCTTGGGGTAGAAAACACTATGGTTAGGTATTTAGTCTGAGACAGACAAAATTAAAACGTGCTTTGAAAGGTCAAATTTTTAAATTTCAGACTTAAGAATTATGTTTTCTACTTTTTCTAGGATGATTTAGAGGGAGTTGGCAAGACAGAGGCTTACATTATTGATTGTCTAATAAGTATGGTTATGAAACTTTCTGAGGCTTCCTTCAGACCACTCTTCTTCAAGGTACAAAGTTTAAACATAATTCATCTGCATCAGCACATTTTCAGTGCATAGACACAGGAAAGAGCTAATCTGCCTTTCACTTTCAGCTCTTTGATTGGTCCAAAACGGAGTCTGCCCTAAAAGACAGACTACTGACGTTCTACCGAATAGCAGATTGCATCGCAGACAACCTCAAGGGTCTCTTCACCCTGTTTGCTGGTCATTTGGTGAAGCCGTTTGCCGAGACACTGAACCAGGTCAACATTTCTAAAACTGGTAAGTTCAGTTCCTATGTACAGAGAGGCATTAGCAGGCTCACTCTGATAGCTGAAAGAGGTTAGTTATAATTGCTGAAAGTTTAGTCGTACAGGATTTACTTCATGGCATATACCTCCCATTTCTCTTTCTCCTTTCTCTTATAACTAAGGTATCTTTCTTATTCTGATGGAACCAAAGGACATTTTTCATTCATGGGCTCTGGGCTGCCAGTACAAAGTTGAGACCACATGAAAGTTTTCAATGTCAGCCCCAGTGAGTTCCACGAGAGTGAAATGGTGTGGAAAGAGGGTGACTTGTTTGTTTGGGGGGTTTTCTCCTATTGTATTTCTCCATTCATTGACTTCTCTTATATGCTATCTGGTGTATTCAGACACCTCTGCTTTCTGGGCAAAAATAGGTATTACTTTTTTTTGTATGGCAAACTATTTGCCCATCCCATTTGTAGTAATGTGAAGAAATTCTTCATATCCACAGGTAGGGCCAAGCACTTTCCCTGTGCGCTGTGGCTATTCCCTGTTACCCCCAGCTGACTGTGAAGGGCAGTGGCAGACCTGCTAGGGCATCAGCTGAAATCCAGATACCAGATTGCATCCGCTTTACTGCTCTGAGCAATTAGTACCTCATTGCTGTGTAGTACATCCTTTAGCTATATTCACAAACTAACATGTTTCTGTCTTGTGAGGAAGTTTTGTCTTTTCCTTTTTTTGATGAATTTTTTTTCATCTTCTTGATTGTTATGTAGATGAAGCTTTCTTTGATTCTGAGAATAGCACAGAAAAAAGCTGCCTACTGCTGCAGTTCACCCTGGATTGTCTGCACAAGCTTTTCCTGTTTGACACCCAGAAGTTCCTGAGTAAGGAAAGAGCAGAAACCTTGATGATTCCTCTGGTCGATCAGGTACTGACAAATACACAAAAAAACCTCAATTCATAGCTGTTGGGTTTGGTGGGCCTTTTTAATCTGACAGACTTTTTTTTTTTTTAACTATCAGGCTTCAATCCTTTTTCTTAACAAAAAGGGAGGAATTAATTCATTTGTCTTTAGGCTTCAGACAGTATTAACTGCTTTGCCTAAGGCTCTGAATCACTGATTTTTTTTTTTTAATCCTCTTTCTAAACATCTTCATTCCATAAGGTTTCTGCCTATTGTTGAACTTTTGCAGACCAGTGCACTCCCACTAATGCTCCTTGACGTAACTCTTGAGTACCTGAAAACCAGAGCTAGAAGTACTTTTGGCTGGGTTTATCTGAGCCTGGATCTGTTTGACAAGCTTTTTATTTCCACAGCTAGAAAATATGCTTGGAGGAGATGAGAAGTTCCAGGACAGAGTGACAACACACCTAATACCCTGCATAGCTCAGTTTGCAGTGGCAATGGCAGATGACTCTCTTTGGAAACCCCTAAACTACC